CAACGGGGATGGCTGTTGTTGGTTTAGCGTCCAGAAGACATCAGAGAATGCCCAGGCTAGTAGGAGCTAACTGTTAGCATTAGCAACTCCACCACACAGCAGAACTCCTCCAGGCTTGTGTAATTTGTGGAGATAAAACATCAGTGTTGTAAGTCAGTGGTAGAGTTGTGTTGCTGTCAGCTAATCAGCAACGAAATGTCAGAATATCAGGAAATAGGACTCCAAATCCTGCCGTGTTCCAGCTGACCTTTACATCCTCAAACTGGTGCTCCAGAGCTTTTTTTCCTTGGAGAACAACTTACAGGACATTCATTTCTACTAGAGACCACTGCAAATATAATAAAAATAAATGTAAAGTTGACCTTTAACAACGTTCTACCACACCTGTGGCCCATAGGGCAGCAATTGTAAAAACAAGAAACCAGCTCAGTGACCTAGTGGTAGAGTGTCCGCCCTGGGGCCGGGGAAATCGGGGTTCAAATCCCTGTTGGGTCACACCAAAGACTTAAAAAATGGGACCTAATGCCTCCCTGCTTGACACTCAGCTTTAAGAGGTTGGATTGGGGGGTTGAACCATTTGGTGGTGTAACCCCATAAATGCAGAGGATGGTTTTCACCACACAGCAGTGTGTGACATCTGATGGGACTTAAATCTTGAAAAGCGAGTGCAAACACAGGCCTGAGCTTTTTTGTAATGATCAGGGATGTTGTGAAACTTAAAACCCTGTTATTTATGTCTACAAGACAAGACGGCTTTATTTATGTACCACATTTCCTACACAAGGGCAACTCAATGTGCTTCACGGCATAAAGAACAGACACGCTAATGCTGCAAATCCCCGCTTTGTTCTGAGCATTTAAAATCATTATTTTTGGTGCCGTGTATCTTCACTGTTGTGTGGACAAGAGGCCAAACAGAAAAATATCTTCTCTTTGTGGTATACCCATCTTCGTGTGTACAGGGTCGAAGTGAAGTTTAGTGCATGCTTCGTTCAGATGGAGGAACTAAAAGGTGCTAATGCCGCTTGGCTTTGTCTCCTCAGGTTGTAACGTCACCATCCCCTCAGAGGTGATCGTACTGAACTCCATCGTTCTTCCACACAAAGACCTGAACCGCAGCTTCAAAAACCAGATCATCCTCTAACGACGGAGGATGCCCCTGGAACTGACTTCCACTTACAGTACATGAGATGTCAAAAGAGATTATAAATATTAAGCCTTCATTAAATTTGTTTTGAAAGGTAAATGTTCTGTATGTCCTCAGGCCTTGATGCAACATTGGGTATCATGAATGTTAGAATGAAGGCCACCATGCATGATGGTTCACTTTGAGAAAGGCCGTCATGCCAGAAGTTTCTCTTGGTTTTTTACCCACTGACTGTAGAATGACTTCACACACACGAGTGTTTACAGACTCTGTTTTACAAGGTCATGCTGTCGATCTCGACTTGTTACTTAAACACGAGTGTTGAAATGATCAGAAAATAAAAAATCACGGGCGTCCGACCACTGTTAATATTCAGCCGTGATCGTTTCTGCAGAGCTTTGATTGAAAGCTTTTAGTAGCCTCATTGTTAGTCTCATAAAATGACTACCATCAAAATAAATCAGCAGGATCAAGATTTACTCTGCAATCAAGCAATGTTGCCTTTTTAAAAACTTATTCAACCCCCCACCTCCCAAGGACCTGCATACCTAAATTGTGCATTCGCAATCACTGGATGAGCTGTTTCCTTTTATTTATACAGCTTCTTAACATTTACTTGTTAAGCCCTCAGGCACTCATGATCACTTTGGTTCTTTTGTTCAAATTAGTGCAACAAGTGTTTATTAAGAAGTGATTTTAATTGTAATACTGGAACAGCTTCATTCCATGTTTTATTCATACCTATTTGCATGTTAATGTACATTTTTATGTGCAACTTGTCTGAAGTTTGAGGATTTAATGCCTCGTCTCGGTCTGCAGGCGCTAATTCCAGCTTTTTGTCTCTAATTTTCACGTGAAATCCTGAGAGGCGCTGGAAGAAGTCATTGGATCAAATGGGCCTTCCACTTCTGTAACAGTGCTATAGAGATGTAAATATGCGGTACTATTAACGGAAGATCTTATCAAATGTTGCTGAAAGCTTGTCGAGGTGTAATTAGTGTTTATTTAGAAAGTTCTTGAACACACAGAACAGTGAAATCATTAAGTAAAAAGTTGGGGTTTTCTGCAGAAGATATGTATTAGGGATTAGCCGGGTACTCGTTTCAGACGAGTATCCGGTACAGATAAAGCATTTTTGACGAATACGAGCATGAAACGAGTAAAACTAGTAAATATCTGTAATCGTGCTGAAGGAAAATCCTCATTGGGTAACTGACTGTCTTCACGCTCTGTGATTGGCCAGTCACATAGACCCTAGGTTTTCTTCAGCTCGCCTCTTTTTCGGTTGAATATTTAAAGTTACTTTTTTCGTAACTTACATGGTGCATTTGACAAGACAGAGCTGACGTGCTGCTCAGTCACTAACTCCGCTCCAGTCGGGTTTTTTATTTTTTTAACTCCATCTCTCTCCCTCTCACACACACACACACACACACACACACACACACACACACACACACACACACACCTTAATCAACATTGTTTTGTTTAACTTTGTGGGAAAATGCCAAGAACGTTAAGAAAAAAATCAGTTCAATCAAATTAAAATTAAAAAATATATATAAAGTTGTGTCTGGTTCTAGCATTTCATATTTCCTAGTTCCTACTGCATGAGTTCAGATGTATTAATTCATGCACTTAAATATTAATGTTCTAATTTAATTGAAACACTTGTTCTGTAATAGTTTCTTAACTATTGTGATCAAAAATATTTAATCTCAATTCTGAGGCTGCTCTGTAAATAGTTTTCAAATAAACAATACACATATCAACTTCTGATCAATCCTTATCAATTTCAGACTTAAAATAATATATTGATGTAAACCACACCCACTTCCAGTTAAACCACGCCCATTCCGAGTACAGATACAGATAATTTAGTTGGTTGAACAGATGCGGATACAGATAGTGGTGTACTCGCTCATCCCTAAAATGTATAAACTGTCAACCAGATACATCACATCGTAGACCCGCCAGAAAAGGTGCACTCCCTCTGCTGTCCTGGCGGAGAATTGCTCTGCGAGAGAGAGAGCTGAGGGGGTGGGGGGGGATAATCAGTATCAGTGCTCCGCTTCCCCCTTCTCTCAGTCGTAGATCTGATCCATTTGCATTCTCCACAACTCTTTTCATAATAGTATTTGGTGATTTGATTCCTCAGGCCGGCATTTGGGGGCTCATCCTTGCTACACCACTGAGTCACTAAGTGTGTGTCAGTTCAAATTCGCTCACAAACTATAAACGATATTGTTGTGATTTGAAGTTTGTATATTTATATACTGTAATTAGATAATTTAATTACCTGATTTTGTATATTTATACAATCTAAGTAATCAATCAGAAGAGGTTGTTTTTATCATCAGGGAGTTTACTTCAACACTTTGTATTGACTGAGAGACAAGAAAGAGAGAGAGTTGGGATCATTTATGAATCTTTAATTTCTATAATTATAAATTCTTACAATCTACCAGGACTATCTCAATGATGGATGCATATGGATGTAGATGTTTCGTGTTGGTGTGTGTGTGTGTGTGTGTGTGTGTGTGTGTGTTTTGTTCAGAATCTCTAGGCTGACGTAGCGAGTCTGGTTTGTTATGACTAGGCTACCACGAGGCTTCAGAAGCTGATGACATGAGCCGCCATATTGCCGTACCTTAGATGGAGTCTCCCGTGTAGATCAGGAATTGCCAGGTTCCAAGACCTCGGTTGTACTGGAGCTGGTTGAAACAGCGATCACAGCACACAACGCCCGTCTGAGGATAACTCCGTTAGTGGTTGGCAGGCGTCAGCAAGTTCACTCTTATTTTGAAATACAAACGTTGGTAAAAACGACGGAAATCTCCAGCTTGACAGATCTCAGCTTAAAATAGGAAATACAGATGGCCAGCCTGTATTCCTCTTTGCGGTGAAGTGGTTGAGAGCTGGTTGAAAACAATGTTGAGAGTATGATGTAACTCTTTGGAGCTCGGATCGAGCAGAGCTGATGTCAACGTGGAACTGAACTTAAAATTGCATTGCCTTCTTTTTATATCTATTAAGAATCTTAGTAAACCGGATTGGACTACTTTCATAAACAAACCAGATTCTGCCCTACGACAGACGAAAGTTCCGATTGGTTGAAAACAATGTGTCATGCGTTTCCATGTTAATGCATATCAGTGTGTCTGGTGCTGCCCTGTTTATTCATTTAAACACATAACTCATGACATCTTTATTTCACAGATCATTCACCTGACTATTAATGATCAACAAATGCTTTGATTAGCTTATCACAAATAAAGTACTTTGATTAATCCATGAAAAGCGTTCTTCTTCTGTTCTTCTGTCTCTTCTCCTGGAATGTAAACATACTGAACCAAGCGTCCGACCTTGGCGGTGTTACTGTGTGAAGGGGCAGCTGTTAAGGGCAGACCATTATAAACTTCCCAACGCTACAATATGCTTAAAGGTCACGTTTACACAAATTTTTTAGTACTTTTGTTGTGTTCTCTTAGCCTAGTGAGTCAAGTAACGCTCCACTGGAACCTCCGCGGCCCTCTAGTAGCATTCTGGCAGGCTAATCACAGCTCTCTATCGGGGCTTAAAACCAATAGAGAGCTGTGATTGGTCCACAATGGTGGACAGTGTAACATTGAACTGTCGGGCTTTTCTATCAGAAGCTAATGCAGGAGATAGGTGTAGAAAACTATTTTCACATTGAGCCTGCATGTTAAACTCAGAGTGACTGGTAATTTTCAAAAAATGGTTTCTCAGTTGTTTTATGCTAATATTGGGTAAAGAAGACTAGAGGTTGAGCTAACAATGCTAACAGAGAATTAGAAACAAATAGTCGCCTCTACAAATATTCAGAACTACCTTTTCAATTACCAACAACTCAATTTTGCAGCGACATGTATGTATCTGCTTATCAACTTACATCTAGAATCTTCTGGCACTGATCCGTACCCGGCAACAGCCGTGAAACTCAATAAGAGGAGGAGGGAGTGGCTGAAAACAGACTCTTTGTTTTGATACATCGGCCACAGTACTCAAATTTGACCACAAGGTGTCACTCTTACTTCATGCACCTTGAATAAGGACCATATTCATAATATCAAATTTGAGGGGGGGTGTCTGCAGGTGATAACGGTACAAAGTTGCTCTCAGATATTGTGCGAGTGAAGGAGCTCTAATAGCAACCGCAGGCAAAAGTCCAGGAATGTTTCCTCTCCAGAGGGCAGGCGGAGGGTTTCACGTCCGGACACTGAATAGATGATGAGGATGATGACTAACAAAAGCCTGCAGGAAAGACAAATGAGCTGTCAAACAGTAAGTGACATATCTCCCTGCTCAGATTCATACGGCACAGAAAAATAACATCCGACTGTCATGCATCACCAGTAAAGGCTAATCTTTTGCTAAACTGCACGCTGAGGCATCAAAATGTGCTGGTTCTCCACAAAAGTGTAAAGCAGACTTAAAACAGATCCTTCCATGCTGACACGAGGAGTTCTGTTTTTAAAATGAAATCAGTTCTAGTGCTGCAGGAAAGTCGCCCTTGAACATGTTTGCATCACCGTGTAAATAAAAACGGATCATTCTGGCCTGCAGGGCATGCTGACGGAACTGATGCTCATGCATATTAATATTGCCATAACTCAAATTGTTTTTACATGTTTACATCTTTTCATTCCTCACTGGGTGCAGCTTTAACCCTCTTCAGTTGGATTTCTCACATTTGTTTTTGCTCCTCTAGTGTTTTTCTCAGTAGACTGTGGCAAGTCTCCTTTGGAGCGCCCGGGCCAAGTCGAAACCTCTGCTCTAAAAATGGCGCTCATTCCACTTCTCAGCAGACTGAACTCACACGAACTCAACTGCTCTCCTGGTTAAAAAGCCTCAGTAGAACAGACGGTGGAAGGAAAAAGCAGTCACTCGGACGAGAAAATGTCTTTTTCCTGCGGATTTAGTCTTTTGTGCTTTTGATGATCTGTAGTTCAAAGAGGTCTGGGTAGATTTGCGAAAACAAGTCTTGCTTTTGTAGCAAAGAAACTTTCATTCAGAAAGAATTTAGCCTCATCTTTAGGATTCCCCCCAAAAAACTACCGTAATTTCCGGACTATAAGCCGCTACTTTTTTCCCACGCTTTGAACCATGCGGCTTATAATGAGGTGCGGCTTTACTGAAGATTTTCCTTCACCTGCCACTAGGGGGCGTTTTAGCAGAAAGTGAAACAGGTGGAAGTCAAAAGTGGAAATGGAAGAAAGTGCTCATTTTAATTTAGCACATGCAAGCAGCCGGCATGACGAAGAATTTTTTTCAAATCCATACCCCCTCATCATGGTAATTACACGTATGAGTTCATATGATGCCGCATTTAAGTTGAAGGCCATCGATCTGGCAGTAAAGGAGGGAAACAGCGCTGCCGCACGTAAGCTTGGCATGAATGAATCCATGGTTCGGCGCTGGAGACGGCAGCGGGAAGAACTCATTCAAGCCAGCTTCACCGGGGATGATGACAGCAACACGGACAGCGACACTGACATCGCCACAGAAAAGGTATGTGACGAAGCTCTTCTGAGGCTGTTCAACTCCGACACTGAAGAAGAGGACTTTAATGGCTTTAGTGCGCAAGAGGAAGATGAGAGCGAATGACTTCTTCTGGTAGGCAAGTGTGTTTTATTTACTAACCAGGCATGTTTTGTGTGCAGTTTTTATTTTCTAATCATCCATGGCTTACTAATGCTGTGTCAGCGCTGTTCTTTTCTTCTAAACATGCAAATGACCGGTAATAACGTGTCAGTGCTGTTTTTATTTTATAACCATCCAGAAATATGAATGCTATCAGTGCTGTTTTCTAAACTTGCACGCACGTTCACCCGTGTTTAAAATCCGTTTTGTTGAATTAAAACAACGAAAAACCTCCGTGTAGCGTCTTTCTGTCTAACTATCTTATGTTATGGCCGTACATGCGCCGGAGACCCGCATGTGGCTGCTGAGCCGTGGCTTGTATTCGAGTGCGGCGTGTGTGTAGAAAACCTTTTTTTGCTGTTGGTGCGGCTTTTATTGAGGTGCGCTCTATAGTCCGGAAATTACGGTAAGTTTAAAAAGGTTTTGAAAAGAGTTTTTATTATTTTAATTGCGTGCTGAGTAACTCTGAGACCCTTGTAGCAACAATTAGCCGGTGGAGACTTGTAAAATATAATTGGAACAACAGACTTGAAAGCAGAATTCAGCTGCATCTATAGCTGGGGGACAAAACAAATCAGATTTTCAGCACTCAAATGGCTCACTTTCACTAATGAAATGGTTAAACAGCATTTTATTGGGGCGGATTTTAATATTCTACAGTCTAAGGGCACCAAATCTGACTTCACTCTCTGAAAGCTGCAAGAACCATACTAATAGATGGTTTTTACTGTGGTAAAAAAAATCATAGGACAGGGCGAGCATGGGGCGGGGGTATTTACTGATTTGGAGAGGAGAAGAAGGGCAAAGCAGCCATCCAAGTGAAGCCGCCATAAAAAAGGACTGGAAAGCTTTCTGATTTATGCAGTTGGGTAGATGGCTCAAATGTATCCTCCTGCAGTATTTATTAGACACGCAGACCATCACTCTCCTTTCTGAATGCAAAAGTGGTGGGTGGACGGAACACCGTGCATAACATTGCATAATTCAAGGCTGTGACATACTAATGCAGGATGGCAGTGGGATTATTTGCATCATTTCCATAAGATCATAATTTTGCACATTCTGTGCATCTTAAGATGAAAGTGTTGGGGGGAGATGGGGGCGTTGCCCTGTCCTGGAGGGGCTCGGGGTGTTTGCTTCCCCTCTGCTGGCTGCAGCTGACGGATGGCTTCTGCATTAAAATCCTCTTCAGCACGCGGATGGCTTGTCGAAGTTCAGCAGACTTCTCAGAATGTGTCTTCAGGGTACCTGCTTCTAGGATATAGAGGTTATGAAAGGTCACACCATCTAAAAGGGCTTATGTCATTTTAAGAGTGCAGAAGAGAGAGATGGCTGTGAAGAAAACACTAAAATCATCGTTTTTAATGGTTTAAAAAAACTGCTAGGCTCTTTAAAAAAATCACTTCAGTCAGAAGTGAACTGAGGTGTACTACTTTGTGTCCAGTAGAGGGCACTGTGGATGTTGACTGAGGTTCGTCTCAGTGTGTGTGTGTGTGTGTGTGTGTGTGTGTGTGTGTGTGAGACCACCCCAGTGATTACAATGTTTGAGCAGAGCTGTGCAGTGTTTGTTTGACTTTGTGACTCTCAGTAAATAATCTGCAGGGCAGCATTTGAGGCTATTTTCTACTTTTTATTGTTACTTCTGTAACTGTAAGACCAGAAAAGGGCTAAAAAAAAAGAAATTCACATCACTTGATTTGTGGATGTAATTAAAAGTGCAGACCACTGAAAAACCATTTTTATTGAATTATTTCTGATTCTAATGGGTGACTGAGTGTTTCATGCAGGCTGAACATGAAAATAGTCTCCTACACCTATCTCCTGCATTAGCTTCAAATAGAAAATAGACGGTGAAACCCTAGGATTAGAAAAGCCTGACAGATCTACATCACACTGTCACCTAACATTCATGGACTCACCCCTCTTGACTCATGATGGGGAAGGATGTTGTTGGTTTATCATTCAGGAAACAGCAGAGTCCCAAGAAGCCAATCGTTAGCGTTAGCAACTTCACTACACTGCAAAATTCCTCCAGGCTTGTTTGTGGAGATAATACATTGCAGAGCAAACCGAGTCAACGGTAGAGTCACGAGATGTTCAAATATCAGGAAGTAAGACTCTAAAACCTGCCGTCTGAAGCTCAGCTGTGATGTAGCTCCCTTCTAGTTCCTGCAAATGTAGTGATTAAACAAGTGTTCCACACCTTTGATCTTTATAGAGGTTAAACAAAATTGCATGCCTGTTTTAATTTGAAGTTTAAATGCAAATTTAGAAAAGGAGCTGAAAATATGCAGTCCATTAGTCCAGATGTGTAGAAATCAGGTTGAGTTTAATGCAAAAATGAAGTTAGTTTAGATGTTGCAGACGTAATGTGTGCTGTGGATTGTTTTAATCGTAAAGATTTCTGAACGACATCGCAAACATGAAGAACCTTTTCTCTCTGCGGCGATTAAAGACAAAAGTTTGTTTTAAAATCTCCATCTGAGGCTTGCTGATAAGAAAAAAAGCACACTGCTAATAAAGTTTTATTTTTCTTGCATAAAAAAGTGAATTGCTCATAAAACACTCCCGAGTTATCAGAGGCTTGTTAGAAGACAACGGATTTAGCCGCAGCTTTAATTTAAACGAATGGAAGT